GCCGGTTGGTGGCCTACCGGAACGATGCCCATCCGTTACCGGTAGCTCAGCTGGCTTGCACCTGTTGCATTTTATTCCTTCTTTTTCTTTTAGGTGTTGCGGCACAGTAGCTGAGTGGTTTCCCACCTCTATCTAACGTGTATCTTGATGACTGAATGCGTTATGAAATTCAGTGGCATTCCCGTTGACTTATCATTAACTGTAAACAATTAAAGCTCACGTGTACATTTCCTAGACATTGGTAACAGCATGTATCTCTTAATGTGATAAATCTGGTTACCAGTCAAGACATTGAGTCTCTAAAACTTGGATGTTCATTTACAGATTCCGTATGGGAGCGAACACAAAGGGACTCACAAGGGCCTCAAAGCGAAACTGAGTGTTAGCCTGTCTAGCGAACATGAATCTCGGCGATCTCATCGTACATTCGTGTTGGAAACAAGCATTGCTACGGAAAACGGGTAGCAGGCGACCTGGTGTTATCGAGATTTTATGCGACAAGAGTATACATATCATCTACAACCTGTCAACGCCTTTAGAGCGTTCTGCTGAGCATTCCAAAAGTAATTTAATCGACCTGAACTACCAGGTACAATACCAGAGAGGGCTCGCCTTGCTCTTTGGGCCATCCGTTTGGATGCGCTTTCTCATACGCCACTCAGTGTGGTCAGACTGCTGTACTTGAAAAAGCCCGCTAGACTAGATAGACTTTCTCCATCCACCTTGGAATTGGTGGAACCAACCATTTTTAGTGGTTTGCGCGTGAACTAAAGCAGAGCCTACATGCTGACAAGGAAGCATGGTGGACCAGTAGGGCTCAAGAAATGGAGGAGGCAGGAGAAGTAGGCAATTACCGCAAGCTCTTCCAGCTTATCCGCACCACTGGTCCTAGGAAACCAGGCGTCAGTGAGACAATCAGAGACAGCGCGGGTGCACTGATACACAATAAGGAGCGCCGTATGGCTTGTTGGGCGGAACACTTTCAAGAACAGTTTAGCTGGCCCCCCTGCTATCGGACCTCTTCCTACTCAGGTGATGCAGGACGAGCCATGGACGGTTAGTTTAGAGCCTCCGTCGGAGGCCGAGGTCCGAAACGCGATTACAGTCCTTAATCGTTTTCGTGCCGCTGGCCCGGATTCCCTCCCACCTGCACTATTTAAGGATGGAGGTCCTCTGCAAAGCACTGACCTTATTCGAATGTGTCTGGACAGAAGAGAGCGTCCCGGCTAATTGGATCGAATCGATTATAGTGGCAATATACAAGAAGGGCAGTCGCACAGACTGTTCTAACCACAGGGGTATTAGCCTAACGCCAATTGTGATAAAATTATTGGCCTCGATTATCGTTCGTCGCCTCACTGCGGAACAAGAATCTCGGATTAGGGAAGAGCAGGCTGGTTTCCGCCCAGGACGTGGCTTAGTCTAGACCATATATTCACTTTGCGGCAGATGCTAGAGCAGCACCACGCATACCGCAGACCGACAATAGCTGTGTTCCTCGATTTCAAGAGTGCGTTCGATTCAGTCGATTGATCGATTCTGTTCGCAATACTTGCGCGGAAAGGTGTTCCCACGAAATATGTGGACATCCTTCGTGCTCTATACTCGAACACTACAGGCCGCGTCAGGGTTTACGATGTCCTATCGGATAGCTTTCCGACCACAAGTGGCGTTCGTCAGGGTTGTCCGATTTCCCCGTTTTTGTTCAATTTCGTCGTGGATTCTATCATGGAGTGTTCCCTTGCGAAATCTCACGATGTAAGCGTTGAAGTGCTGTCTGGTGAAAGGTTAGTTGATCTAGATTATACGGACGATATCGTGTTGCTTTTCGGCGATGTTGGGGCGGCCCAATCAACCCTGAATAGCCTGTCCAGAGTGGTCCCATTATTTGGTATGCACTTCGCACCTTCAAAGTGCAAAGTGTTGCTGCAGGACTACCAGCCACTTGATGACCGCTTGACGCTTGCTAACGAGGAACTCGACGTGGTTGATCATTTCACTTATCTTGGCAGCTGCGTCAGTAATGATGGGCGCATAGAAACTGACGTCAGCTCACGCATTGCAAAAGCCAGAGCTACTTCTTGAACCTGCGACATTTTTGGCGACAGAAGGGAGTTTCCCTTCGTCTGAAAGGCCGTGTATACAAGGCCACAGTGAGGGCCGTTCTACTGTATGGTAGTGAGACTTGGCCCCTTCGGTCTGAAGAGCTGAGGCGCCTTCAAATCTGATCATCGTTGTCTGCGAAGCATTGCTGGAGTCGGATGGCACCAGCGTGTCCGCAACGATGATGTGCTTAGACCAGTACTAGGTAATGATAATCATGCTAGCTCCCTAGAACAACAGATAGCACTGAATAAGTTGCGTTGGCTCGGGCACGTGCTACGTATGCCTGGTCCCCGCTTACCTAGGATGGCCTTGTTTAGTCTGCCTGGTGTAGGATGGCGCAAGGCTCGCGGTGGACAGAAGTTGACTTGGCGACGGGAAATGAAGACACTGACGACCAAACTGGGTCCCGTTCGTCCGTCTCGCCTTCCGGACTGGAGTCCATGTGACTCGCCTTGTGCTTGGCTCGCGACTTTACAGGACATGGCTCGCAGTAGACACCAGTGGCGCGTCTGCTGCCGTCTCCTAATCGGATTGCCTGTTTAAAGTGTGTTTGGTGCTGAGTTATCTGCGGGGTAATGGCTGATTATGTCGCGTGGCATTGAAAGCCGCAAGGAAGCTGTCTCGCCGATGCCGCCTTATCTTTACACGATAGCCAGCTGTTTGTGACGGTATGTTGTCTACACAAGGTGTAGGCGCCTTGACGTTGAATGTTTGCTGAGGGCATTAAGGTTTTCAGGTAAGTCCCCCCTTCTTATTCTTTATTTCATAGGTCCTCATGGTTGTATGGCAGCGAAGCATCAATTCAAATAGCATATGTACTGCTGTTGATGCTGATGAGTGGTTTGCGCATTTTACTAGTGAAAGTGTTGGGGCAGGGAACTGTCCGAACAGATGAGCCACTTCGTCATAGTCCCAATTTTCAAGGCAGGCTGGTGTTCAAAATGTGGTAGTCATATAGGGACCGGTGTGATCTCACTTGCTTCTAACTTACTTGCCTCGTCTGTCCTCCATAGACTGGTTGACACTCATGTAAGCCAGATGCTCGAGAAACAAGCCGGGTTTCGTGGATATAGTGGTGTTATTGATCTCACTTTACGTCACTCGTTGGAGCACCGCCACATACATTCGCGACCCACCTTGGTCGTGTTGCTCGACATCAACGATGCATTTGTTTCGGATGATCGACCTGCTCTTTGGTATTTGTGCCTGCTAAACGTAAATGTTATCAGAGCGCTTTACGCGCGTAGTTCGGGTAGGGTGCGGGCTTTTGCCAAGCTGTCTTATGTTGTGCGAAACAGATACCTGCTGTCACCTCTCCTTTGTAACTTCAGCATTTATAAACCTATGGAAACTGCGTTCACTGGTATGGCTCATGTGTGAAGCTGGTTCCAGGTGATTTGGATTATACTGACGATATTGCCCTAAACCTACTTGACAGTTTAGCTCTGAGATTGCTTTAAAATTGACACGGACCACACGTGCGTTAACCCTTAGTGGGGACCAGCTAGAAATCGTTCAGAAATTCATCTATTCAGGTAACTGTACCAAAGTTTGTGGAATAGAGGATCACGAACCGTATAACAAAAGCTCGAGGTACTTTTCCAATCTTCGCTGCCTGTGGCATAGGTACGACATAAATCTTGCCCTGAAGGTTAAAGCCTACAATTCAGTCGTCCGTTCAACCCTACTATACGGTTATGAAAACTGGCCTGTCAGATCGACAAACTTACTGAAGTTAGTTACGTTCATCCACTGGCGCCTTTGCAGTTTAGCTCAGATCTGGTGAGATCACCGCGTGAGTAATGAGTGTCTTCATCGTCTTGTATTTGGTGCGGGAAGAAAAGTGCACCGCGCAACACCATTATTTCACACACCAGGATCCGATGGTTAGGTCATGGGTTACGCATGACAGCACATCGACTCTCGTGGCGTGCGTTGTTTGCGCAACGGGAATCTAGATAAGAGAAGCGGAGTGAAAGAAACTGGACTTTGTCAAGGGGAATGAAGTCCCTTCCTTCTGATTTGGCCTCGGTTGGATTCCGCAGGACTATGAACGCGGTTAGTTGAACACGCTTGTCGACATGGCGAAAAACCGTCAACAACGGCATCCGTGTTTCGAATATTTTTCTCTCGCCCAGTCTCGATTAGCCTCTTCCCCTAATCACTATTTCGTCCTCAAGACATAGTACGAAACAACGCACAATGCCATTTTCGTTTCTTTTTCTATGCTCTGGTTTTTGGTGGAGGTCTCACCCCGCTGTCTAGTATGATGCTAATGCTCTTCGTTATTTACTTATACGTGTGACATGGGCGCACTTGTACAGCCGTCTCCGGATACACCTCAGACTGTTGACTTCAGCGTGATCTGTATTCCAAAGGTAAGGATAAAACTTCTAGAATTACAATGGTGCTCGCGTCTGACTATGTGACACGCGTTACTGGCTGTGGAATAATCATCCGTCAGTAAGATGATATTTATCAACGTGTGGTGAAATGAAAGTGGCTCATAGTGTAAGTGCCCAATTGCGTGATAAACAGTCTCTACGCATCGGATTCGAACCTCCACATCATCTTAAACCTTGACACTCTCATTTCACCTAAACACGCATGCACTCGCCTGCGGTGCTACACAGTAAAATACTATAAAAAGAAAAGCACGGGTTAGGTAGACTCATGCCAGACTAAGAGCGGGTACGATCCAATTGGAAATCCACGTAGTTTCAAAATCATATCTGCATTCTGTTTCGATTTCGGACGAACTTTCTTTCCTTATAGTGCCTATATTACAAGACTTCTGAATTACTGTTCTCGGTTGCATTCTTAGTACTACCACGATCATTACTTGTGCGCCATAATCATGATGGTTTTTATTTATTTGTTTCTTTCCTATCCAGCGAATGCGGACGGCGAGCTGAAACAGGAAGACGCGGACGAGGATGTTCCGGGACTCATCGGTGATTTTGACGAAAAAAGCCGCTTGGAATAATTTCTTCTCAGCATACTTTTAGCTTTGTGTTTGTATGCTGACTTGCAATACAGTGGCTTTTGATCATTCGGTTTGCTTTATGCTCTCGTGCGGTTAAAGATCTCGGTACTTCATCCTTTCATGCAAAACTTCGGTTGTCTGTTGCCTTCCTCTCTTCTTTGCTTGATTGTAAATCTGACTAAGTGTGAGGTAGGCTTCGACATTCCTCCCATGGACAGTGGTCTCCGGAGTATTATTGATATTCACGAGTATTTGTGGGCCTCCATCTTCACTCAGCTTTTTTCTTTCCTTTTGCAGTGATTTTGTCATATTGTATACTTCAGCTAATATGGCCATTTCCCTTGCCCCTTGTTATTTCCGATTAAAAGTTAGCTTGTGACTTCATTTGGAGAACCGTCTCCTCTGTAAATGAAATTCCTGTCAGGGTATATCGATGTATCCTATGCCCACATATGGTTTGCACTGCAGTAACTGAATCTTCAACGGAGTGTACCTCTGTATTTTAGCTTGTTCACTGTTTTTCCCTCCATCCCGTTGACCTCCACCCTTAACATCTACCATAGGCTTAATCGCTTCCACTGTTTGATGGTCGCACTTTGAATGATATCATGTGTGTTGGAGCGGATTCGGCTGTTGATGAATTTGCTGGGAGCTCTGATTCGATTGTTCTATTGGGGTTGCCTCAGTCTGGTCTAGTTACACGCACATTTCCGCTTTGTACATACATTGATTTTGGTTTAGGAGTTCTTCGAGAAGTAGCAAAATCGAGGCTATCACGCTTCTGCTGTTGTATTAACTTAATTGTCTTAGCCCTGCGTTTGAGCTCAAAACTGTCTCCTCAGATTATCATTCAAAATCGATTTGTGTTACTCGGGTACTACTTTTCACCACTATGGAATTGTACTCCAAGGGTTCAGACAATGGCTACCGTGTAAGGAAGCATACACTTAATATTGCAGTAGTGTCAACGATCCGACTCGATGTGGCGGTTCTCATAATGTCGCGATATACTTGCAACGCTTAAGGCATTTATGTAAACTGGAATACCGCGGTGCATTTTTGAAAAGTGACTTGTTTAGTGTAAGTAACAGCCAATGCATCAAGCAAGAAACGGTGGTAGTGCGATAGAAATCCTAGTCACAGACGGACTTCCTCACTGGTTTTCGTTTTCGCGTTTTATAATATTAGTCTTAATTTGTATTCTAGAACCCGTGAGCTTTTACAGATGAGGAAGGCAATCCTCACTTGGATGCCCCTCCAATCGTTAATGTCTAACTAGCAGGATTCGGAGATTTTCTGCGTTTTTTGAATGATATCTGGAGTGAAGTTGATAGTGAGATATAAATGGGTGTATTCTTAAAGTGTGTAATGATTGAACCGAGCCCTATAAAATGTTAGCCAAGCTCTATTTGTGAAAATGAAAGAATGCGAGCAAGTCGTGGACTTTACACCACCTCCAATTTTAACTTGCAAGCCTTCAATGATATCTGACTGTCATGGAATATTTGTCGATCGTAATTTTGTAGCTGTCTTGAATTCTTACGGAGCCATTCGGTTTGGCCAGTGTCATGATTGGCATCTTGCAGTCAGAAAATTGTAGGGGCATAATGATGCCATTAGTTTGTAAGCGGTGTAATTTGTCTTCAACTTTTGGCCTCACTGAGTGCCTCAGTGTTGATGCTTTGGTGAATGCGGTAAGGCGTCTTTCTCCAGAATCTGCTAAAGGTATCTACTGGTAAACTCCTTTTTTCGAATATCCAAAGCAGCACTGAATGCATCGCAGATGCTGGCTTCTGCTGAACAGACTTCTTCAATGCGAAGGACAATGAAGTATCGCTAACTCTTGTCACCGAGTGGCGGTCGTGGAACTTTGATTTTTTCTTGCTCGGTAAGGGACAGTATCGGATTCAAGTTTTGAGGTAATTCCAGTCTTCCCACCTATTCTAACTGTTTTTAAATGGTTTTCCACAAAACATGATCAGCTTTTCTTGGGCGCGTTCAATGTTGACATTTTAATCCCCGTTGCCAGGTACTCCGCCCTAGTCGCAATATCTAAATGTATCCAGAGTGTAGCTCTGTCTGCTCGTAATCGAGGTGTGGGAAAACACATGTAGACGATGCATAGTGTAATCGATAGCAGATCAGGTGTTGTCGTTCGCGTTTTCGGGAATGACGAGTGGATAAAAGCGTGGCAGCATGTATCAGGCGGGAGAGTGTCAAGATTATTCCGACCACAAGATTGAAGAGAAACAGTAAGATTGAACGGCTTTTACTCCCTGTGTTTGTGATGCAGAAAGCGGTGCTACCTTATACCTATCCGGGAGTCGTGCTGTTTTGATTTTGGAATAGGGTAGGACTTTTTCGGACTCCCCCTTCGAAGCTTGGTATCACCATAAGCAGGCACCATCTACCTTATCGAAGACAGCCTCCAAATCACGAAGGATTACCGGAATCTTGTGTGTAAGTGCGGTCGTTCCGAGGTGCCTATCGAAGGGTAAAAATGTGGTCATTACACTCGCAACCGAATTCAGCTTTCACGTGGATCAGTGGGCCATTGCAGGATACATGACGGCAATTCTGACGCAACTGACGGAATCGGTATCACGCTGATTTTCACACTAAGTCCTTTGACACCTTTTGACTATAGAAATGATGGTTGACAACCTCCGATCCTATAACGATTCCCAACTACACCAAAAACAAAGGCCAAAGCGGTCACCAGTTATCATTATTATTCACATTAGCTGCCGATTGAAAACACAGCTATTGTGCAGCAATACAAAAGAAAAGAAAAAACATGCAACAGGGGCACTCTGTTTGAGTTACCAGTATCGGATGAACCTCGTTCCGGAGAGCTAACAGCCGGCTATTTTTCCGCATAAAAAGTTATGTTATGCCTAATAAACGAGATAGTTGTTAGAGTGGGAGGCTAAGCGGGATGGGAGGGACAAAGGAACTCACAACAATAACGCCTTTGAGGTCGGCTCCTAGCAATGCCAACAAGTGTACCCAGCCAAACGTGTTCATCATCCTTCGATCCCCAACCAGGGAGCCGAAAGGCTTTAACCGAGGCAAACTTCGAAGTAAAGACCTTTATTCCCCCTGACCGATTCCTCGCTTGGCCACCCCTTTTCTTCCATCAGCACCCCTGACTTGCAAACAACGTACGTTGCGGGAATCTGTGGCCTGGCATGTGCAACACATGCCCCAGCCATCGAAGACTGGTGCGTAAAGCAACAGTGCTGAACGGTTCGCTTCTTCCTGTGCCATGAACAAGGATTCGTTGCTCACTCGGTGTTCCCAACAGATGTGAACCAAATTGCTAAGGCACCGATGCTCGGACGAAAGTACTCTCTTGTCTTCTGGTCTAATGGGCCTGCTTTCACAACCCCTAACGGGGTTATTGAATTAACTGCATCCGGCTTATCCTCTCGTTATTGATTGCACGCATCCGGAGACGCCGATGCAGCACTCACGGGTCAAGCTGGTGTAGGTATCATTCTAAGCTCCAAGGCTGAGCCATCGTTGGTTGATTGGATTCCGGTGAACAGCCGTTTATGTGCAGCCCGTTTGACGACATCAGCTAAGGTTGATTCACGAACTAAAACTAAACGCTGTTTGTTCGTGATTTCCACTTATGCTCCCACCGACTGCAGTTCAAATGCTGTCAAGGACACATTCTATCACGAACTGAATGCGTTATTACGCAGTGCTACTAGTTTAGATATTATAGTACTTGCAGGGGATATGAACGCACAAGTAGGGCGTCTGAGCTCTTCAGAAGCTCAGCTAGGTGGTACATGTGGACTTAACTCCGAGCGGACTGACAACGGTGAGCGTCTGCCGCAACTGTGTGCGGAGCACCACTTGTTTCTTACTGGCACTGCTTTTAGACACAGTGGGCGCCTAAGTGCCACTTGGCGTCCTCCTGTAGCTGACCAGCGATGGACCCAAATTGATCGCATTGCCATAAGTTATAGATGGCGTGGTTCCATCCTGGCTTGCCGCTCGTACTGGAGTACCTGTGTCTACTCTGATCATGCCTTGGTACGCTGTCGTTTCTCCATGAACTTTACCGGGAGGCGCACCAAGCGTCCCCTACGATTGGCAACTGAGAAATTGTCTCAGTCCTCCGTCAGGCAAGGCTATCAAGAAGCACTGCATACTGAACTATCGCTGTGTTCTAATAACGCTGAGCTTCTGTGGAATAGGATCTCGGCCGCCATGCACGACGCAGGAGCATCTGCTTGTGGCGCTACCAATCGTCACCGCACCAGTCACTGAATATCCGAGAGGTCGGTGAACTTGTTGGAATCTAGAAGGCACCTCCCGGCTGGCTATGAACACAATGTGACCAGACGGGCTATTAGGCGTGAACTAAAGCAGAGCCTACATGCTGACAAGGAAGCGTGGTGAACCAGTGGGGCTCAAGAAATGGAGGAGGCAGGAGAAGTAGGCAATTACCGCAAGCTCTTCCAGCTTATCCGCACCACTGGTCCTAGGAAACCAGGCGTCAGTGAGACAATCAGAGACAGCGCGGGTGCACAGCTACACAATAAGGAGCGCCGTATGGCTTGTTGGGCGGAACACTTTCAAGAACAGTTTAGCTGGCCCCCTGCTATCGGACCTCTTCCTACTCAGGTGATGCAGGACGAGCCATGGACGGTTAGTTTAGAGCCTCCGTCGGAGGCCGAGGTCCGAAACGCGATTACAGTCCTTAATCGTTTTCGTGCCGCTGGCCCGGATTCCCTCCCACATGCACTATTTAAGGATGGAGGTCCTCTGCAAAGCACTGACCTTATTCGAATGTGTCTGGACAGAAGTGAGCGTCCCGGCTAATTGGATCGAATCGATTATAGTGGCAATATACAAGAAGGGCAGTCGCACAGACTGTTCTAACCACAGGGGTATTAGCCTAACGCCAATTGTGATAAAATTATTGGCCTCGATTATCGTTCGTCGCCTCACTGCGGAACAAGAATCTCGGATTAGGGAAGAGCAGGCTGGTTTCCGCCCAGGACGTGGCTTAGTCTAGACCATATATTCACTTTGCGGCAGATGCTAGAGCAGCACCACGCATACCGCAGACCGACAATAGCTGTGTTCCTCGATTTCAAGAGTGCGTTCGATTCAGTCGATTGATCGATTCTGTTCGCAATACTTGCGCGGAAAGGTGTTCCCACGAAATATGTGGACATCCTTCGTGCTCTATACTCGAACACTACAGGCCGCGTCAGGGTTTACGATGTCCTATCGGATAGCTTTCCGACCACAAGTGGCGTTCGTCAGGGTTGTCCGATTTCCCCGTTTTTGTTCAATTTCGTCGTGGATTCTATCATGGAGTGTTCCCTTGCGAAATCTCACGATGTAAGCGTTGAAGTGCTGTCTGGTGAAAGGTTAGTTGATCTAGATTATGCGGACGATATCGTGTTGCTTTTCGGCGATGTTGGGGCGGCCCAATCAACCCTGAATAGCCTGTCCAGAGTGGTCCCATTATTTGGTATGCACTTCGCACCTTCAAAATGCAAAGTGTTGCTGCAGGACCACCAGCCACTTGATGACCCCTTGACGCTTGCTAACGAGGAACTCGACGTGGTTGATCATTTCACTTATCTTGGCAGCTGCGTCAGTAATGATGGGCGCATAGAAACTGACGTCAGCTCACGCATTGCAAAAGCCAGAGCTACTTCTTGAACCTGCGACATTTTTGGCGACAGAAGGGAGTTTCCCTTCGTCTGAAAGGCCGTGTATACAAGGCCACAGTGAGGGCCGTTCTACTGTATGGTAGTGAGACTTGACCCCTTCGGTCTGAAGAGCTGAGGCGCCTTCAAGTCTTTGATCATCGTTGTCTGCGAAGCATTGCTGGAGTCGGATGGCACCAGCGTGTCCGCAACGATGATATGCTTAGACCAGTACTAGGTAATGATAATCATGCTAGCTCCCTAGAACAACAGATAGCACTGAATAAGT